CCCCCCCCCCCCCCCCCCCCAACCCAACTTCAGAAAACTAAATTTTCTGAATATTCATTACTTGTGCATTCGTGACAACTTTTCTCGCTGAATCACTCGGAAAGCCCTCGCAACCGAAAGTGCACGTTCCGAAATCTGGTCGGAAAAAATATCGAGCAATACGTACCATCGTCCCTTTTGAAAGCAGGTCCTACAAGGAGAAAGTCTTACAACGGTCCCTTGTTAGGTTTTGCCTGTAAATGCTCTTTTTATTATGTTACATGTTATAGTTAATTAGAATGATTCTTATAAGGGGCAATTTCTTATTAAAAATATTCGCCCTTATGTAAGTGTTCCCTCATATAGGAAATGGCCCCTTTTGAGAAGTGGTCCCTTACAAGAGAAGCCTAGGTCCTTATGGACGACAGCCCTTGCGGGAAGTGTTCCCTCATAGGAGAAGGCTCCTTATAGGCGATGGCCCTTATGAGAAGTGATCCCTCATAAGAGAAGGTCCCTTATTGGAGATGGCTCAGCTCCTTGTGAAAAGTGGTCCCTTATAAGAAAAGTTTCCTTGTGGGCTATGGGCGCCCTTGTGAAAAGTGGTCCCTCATAAGGGAAGCTCTGTCATAGAAGATAGATAGCTTATTGTGGTGGTCGGTCATGAAGAGTGTCGTAATATACTGGAGGTCTTTGAGTTTAGTGCAGTTTTCGTATGACTGTGAAAAGTTCACGGCACGAACACGGTCGTGACACAGCAAGGGATACGCCAGACAAATCACATTGCACGAGAATTTACTCTCCATCCAATCAAATACCCGGAACGCGGCGTAAACACGGCGCGGACACGGTCACGTCAAGATCACGGCACTTTTAGACCAATCATATTGCGCGTGAAAAAAAATCAGACAATCAATTCTAGAAAGTATCACGGTCACCGCACCTCACGCTTACGGCACTGAGCTTTTCACAGTCATACGAAAACTGCTCTACTCATACAAGGCATACACGTCACAGCACGTCGTTCCGCCATTATTCTTCTCAAGCTTATTCGTCAAATCTTGCCCGTACCAGATACGAAATTCATCCCCACACCTCACCCCCAGAGGAACACTAATATTCTTAAAAATCACTTCCTTTGACATTTCGTCGTATCCAGGCAACTTGTATTCGAGTCTCTCTCGGTTTACAGTGAAGAACTCGTCCTGGGGAAGAATCAAGGTGTCATTGTTGTCTGTTATTACGCTATTCATTCTCTCTGGATTGCCTTTGTCATCTCTGCATCCCCAGTGACTGGAGCGAATCGGGAAACCTTCGTTGCAGTTAACCGAGCCTGATACATGGACGAGCTTGAAAGTGATAATTTGGCCTGGAACGGTGATGTTAAATTGGCCAAATGAACTGTCTTTTGTTCCAAAGCACACGGGACTGGAGTTGATCTTTAGCCATTTAACTAGGATATTATAAAAACAAGATATTGCATAAATATTTGCAATATTCTCTACTTTCACATCCCCATAATGCCTTGCGTCTTTGGGGGGTAACCAATCGAAAAACTGCCCCAAATTGAAAGGTTTCTTAATTGAATTTATACTATACCTGCTTTTATCTGTACAATCCTGATTATCAGTTTATTCCAAGTTATTTTTGCGTGTACAGATCATGAAGAGTTTTGGTCTTACAGAAAATGTATGACTTACGAAATTTTTTTTWAAATTTACCTTAAACGTCTTCAAGCTTCTATCTTCTAAGACGCAAAGGATTATGGGGATGTGAAAGTCGAGAATGAATCTGAATGTCATGACACATGGTACGGTCATGTCAAGAGAAATGTATCACTGCTATTATATTAAGCCAAGATTGCTTAATGAAAATGCTTGGACGCGACACAGTTGAAGTCCATTATCGTACCCAAGCCCTTCTAAGCTCCTGGCCGCTGTGACGTCACGTGAAAACGCTCTATTCGAACCTAGTATCTTTTCATCGCACGAAAAAAATGGGAAGCAACTAAAATGTTACTGCATGTTGTACTTATACGATAATCATTCTTATGGGAAGCTATTTCAATTTTGCGGCATGTTGCACTTATACGATAATCATTCTTATGGGAAGCTATTTCAATGTTGCGGTATGTTGCACTTGTACGATAATCATTCTTATGGGAAGCTATTTCAATGTTGCGGNTACGATAATCATTCTTATGGGAAGCTATTTCAATGTTGCGGTATGTTGCACTTGTACGATAATCATTCTTATGGGAAGCTATTTCAATGTTGCGGTATGTTGCACTTGTACGATAATCATTATTATGGGAAGCTATTTCAATGTTGCGGCATGTTGTATCGTTTACGTGCTGTAAGTCATCCACCTTTCGTTTCTTCATTTCTCACTCATCCAAAACTGTTCTATAGTAGACCCCCTGCATCTGACATCAAAGCAGCTCAATTTGGAGAAAAAAAATAATAATTCCAATCTCTTGAGAATTGAAAACCTATTGTTATGTCCTTCAAATTGGGCCGCATTCCGACTTTCTGCAAGGGGTCTATATCCAATTAATTATATACTTACCTGTGTCGCACAGTTTTCCAGTGTATGCCTTTGGGCAGATGCAATCAAAGCCAGTTACATCAACAGGAACACACGTGGATCCACTCAAACAAGGGTTATCACGCTCACACACTGTCTATAAACAAAAACAAGCAAAACACTCAGTTATAATGTAAAACTAAATCACGTCAGTAAGGCTGAGAGATTTTCAGAGTCATACAAACTTTGCTCAGCCTTTTTTACATTTTCGACCACTTTTCTTTATCTAGTCGTTATTTTGTCCTTACCACAGGAAGCAATTTAAAATCGGCCTTGATTTCCCCTTGGCGATCGCCGCACGGTGCTTAACGAAGAGGGCTTATTGCCTATGGCCTGCATTTAGCCGGAATAATTTTTCTCGGATTGGGCCCTTCTCAAAATTGTCTTGAATGCGAGGTTAACATGGAAATACAAAAGAAAGGCCATAAATTCCATCGAGAAAATGCCTTTCGCCCCTCACCGCTGTGGACTGGATCATATGTGAGTCGAGTTTGTTTGATGTGTTGTTCTCTCCCTTGCCACGAGGGCTTTTTCGGGATCTCCGGTTTCCTCCCTCGTAAAAATCAACATGTGAGTTGATTGTTGTAAGCATAAAATAGAATGTAGTGATAGTGCGTGTGGAGGGAACCTCACGTAAGAGCCCCGTGGCGAGTGGTAGTTGTAAAATATATATACAACTGTGATTTATTTTGTATCTTTATGCAGTTAGCCTTGCATTCAAGTGTTATTTTTGAGAATGGTCCATTGCCTAAGGTCCAACGAACATCTTCAGAATAATACTCTAAACTGTAATAAAAATTGTAGATTAACTTCCYTGTTGTCAAGCTGAGAATACGAAAACATGTTTTCAATTCTCGGAGCGGTAATCGGCAAACGCATTTTGAGACATCCGGAAAAGCATCAATTAACACTATTGATATAAGTGTCTTTTACGTTGGCGCAAAGATTTTCCATTTTAACAGACATCTTTTCTTGTCTTCTCTTGTTTTCTCTTGTTTAATTTATTTTGTCATTGCATTTTGAAAATTTCACTTCATTACACTTATTCTTGACTTCTTTTTTAATTCAATCCATGATAATAGATATTATTTTGTAAACTTTCACAGGATTTAAGTTCTCAAATAAGTAGTAATTATTCTCGACGAAGACAAACAAGGAGAACAAAACACGTCGAAATCGATATTTCTTTCAATATTTTGACTTTAATATTTGATTTTATTCCGCTTTCTGGCGATACTTCTCTTTCATTA